TTATGTATTATGATGTATGTGATGATATTGTGATGAATTCACGAATGATAATGTGTTTTGACTAGTTATGGTAATGTCTTATTGTGTTGTTGTGCATCATGCATTCATGACATATATTAGGACTTCGATCCAGTGATGTTGTTAGGACGATTAGTCCAGTGATGTTGTTAGGACGATTGTTCCAGTGATGATGATACGATATTGGTCCAGTGACGACCTCAATCTTATAGTGTGAATTGAGTGCAATATTATGTTGTGCTCCGGTTACAAGCGGGAATCGATCCTATGGTGGGGATCGTTGGAGGAAGATGACTTGGTCATCAATCAAGTTTTGGTACTACATGCATGAGTCAATGATGTTGCATTACATTATTTGGGACATTTCATAATGATTGATTAAGTGATATTGTTGATGTTATGATCTAAGTGGTGTTTGACAAAATATGTTAACGTGATAATATGATGATATAATTGATGTGTATTAATGATACGAAAGTGTGATTATAACTTATGATGTGTGATGATACGTGGAATTTATTATGAACTGATGTTGTGCTACTATATCTGTTTTATATATCTTTAATAATAGTTTGTGATTACTCACACTTTCTACTTGGAAATGTTGCCTCTATACGTAGGTAACTTGTAGGTAATCAGGAATAGACGTAGAAGCTCGAGGATAGCTTTATGAAGTCTTTTAGTTGCTTTATTTTAAATAAAGAGAGTCTTGTTCTGTTATGTAACATCGGGGTCCTTGGGATCATTTGAACCGAACTATGTGTTCCTTGATGACATGATGTATTTGAGATGCTTTATTTCTTGTTAAGATGTTTTAAGTATGACTTATGAATTATGAAGTGTGATGATATTTTATTTGAAGTATTTAAAAAAGATGTTTTTAGACAATAATTTCGCTGCGATGTGTTAAAGTTTCATGATGATATTTTCAAAGAGATATATGTTTTAATTTTTGAAAGCTCGTGTTACAGAGCAAGATATGCATGTACGATGTTTTATGAATCATGTGACACCTTTTTTGGTGCATTACTCTGATTTAATAATTATAATATTTATGCGGTTTTAGAAGGGTATTATATCAGTGGTATCAGAGAAGATTGGTCCATTTGGCCAGGTTTTCCTATGATGAACATGTATTGTCAATCGATTAGTGTGAGTATAATGTCGATACATTGTTTTCTAGTGTTAGTCTTCTGTGTGTACAATGGCTGGAAGAAACGATATTGCGATTACTGCAGCTTTGAATGTTGTTGCTCAGGTTGTGGAACATCAGTCTAATGCTGGAAGGAATGATGGATCTCGTGTCTTAGAGACGTTTCAGAGGAACCATCCGCCTATTTTCAAAGGTAGGTACGATCTTGATGGAGCACGGACTTGGCTCAAAGAACTGAAAGGATCTTTTGAGTCATGGATTGTTCAGAGGAACAGAAGGTGCAGTTTGGTACGTATATACTAGCAGAGGAAGCTGATGACTGGTGGGTTGGCACCTGTCAAAGAATGACAATGGTGGGTGAAGTCATTACTTGGGATATGTTCAATAGGGAGTTTTTGAGGAAGTAATTTCCAGAGCATGTGCGTGGGAAGAAAGAGATTGAGTTTCTAGAGTTGCAACAAGAGAATTTGACTGTGATTGAGTATGCTTCAAAGTTTGTGGAATTGGTAAAGTATTGTCCACATTACAGTGAAGCGATTGACAAGTTCTCGAAGTGTATCAAATTTGAGAATGGTTTGCGTTCAGAGATCAAACGGGAAATTGGATATCAGCAAATTCGTAGGTTTCTAGAGTTGGTGAACAATTGTAGGATCTATGAAGAAGACAACAAAGCTCATTCTGCTCACTACAAGAGTCTGAATGAGAAGAGAGGAAAACAACAACAAGACTGTATGAAGCCTTATGATGCCCCAATTGATAAAGGGAAACAAAAGGTTTTTGATAGAAAGAAGACAAGTGGGGGAGGAGCTCTCGCTCCTATCTAGTATTATAGGTGTGGTGATCAAAGTCACTGTTCTAATGAATGTGAGAATATGATTATGAGATGTTACAAATGTGATAAGACGGGTCATCATGCTCCTGAATTCTCTCATCTCGAGTCTATTCATATTCAACTGACCCCTTTCCTCTCCTCCACTTTTTTAATTGCGTTGAAATCTCCGACATACACCACTCTTCTACTTCAAAGTTAGCCTTACAAGCCAACAACTCCTTTCAAAGTACTCATTTCAGATTGAATCTACAAGACACATAAACGTTCACCAAATAGATGCAAGACTCCTTCCAAACGAAAGAAATTCCAATAAAACTCTCTCCAATAAAAAACTGAATTTAACATCTATCATACCTGATTTCAACATGATCAATGAACCCCAGCTCTGCCAATTTCTGCTTTTGCTACCCATTCCACATCTCTTCCACCCCCATAGAGACCCCACTGTAGCATCATCCATTTGTTGCAACATCATCTCTTGAAGAAAACACACCTCAAACTGACCCTTTTAAATAAGGTTTCTAATCCCCTCATTCTTCAAGGAATTACCTGCCCCTCTTATATTGAAAGATAAGCAATTCATTGAACATCTTTTGATTTTGCCTCCTTTTGAACTAACTCTTCTTCTTCTTTTCCTAACAAAAAAAATTGTTAATATTTATTGAAATTCGAATATGAGACTTTTGAGATAAGCATAATCGCATAATCTAAGTCTTTGCCATTATGATTTAATAATTAAATTTTACAAATTGCAACAAAATACTAGTTTTATAATGAAATCAATTTTTTTTAAATGAAGGATAATTCTATAAATGTAAATATGAATGTAAGTATAGTTTGCATGCAGTACTAGAAAGTAATAATTCCATTAAAGAGTTTCCCAATAAAATCTTTTGCTTGTTTTAGTGGCAAAAATGAAGGTAGTATAGTCTAGTCAATAATAATCTTAAACACTGAAACCGTGGAAAGCACATCGTACATGGCCCATATGACAATGATCATTCAAGGCAGCCATTCCAAAGTTGTTAATCACCTGCCTTCTTAAATCCTTGCATTAATTAATTAATAATTAATTAATTCCTGTTTGAAAAAAGCAAAAAAAAAAAGTTCTTAATTACTCCATTTGTAGACATAATAATCTTTCCAAGTGGCTTAATTAGTAACACAATTATCCTACTTTTTTCAAAAGACAAACCAACAAGATCTAAACTTAATGAAATCTGATTTTGTATGTTAACTAATTTGGTAACATAATCAAATGCTATTATGTACTATGTACTATACTAGATTGAAGAGGTATCAATATTCTTATTCATATAAATGATATTTTAACATATGCATGATATTCTACATATATTACTTTTTCTTAAGTTGATATTATGTTTTTTGTTCTAATGTGGAATTATAAAGTGTAATAAAATCTTGATGTGATGTTGTGGAATTAAAAATGTATAAAGTCTTGATGTGATGTAGTAAACTTTCAATATTTAGAGAAGAGTTAATCTATAATACTCCGACACTTCAACGTCTAAATCAGTTAATAAATGAAAAATATAATATATAGAAAATAGTTATATAATATTAAAAGTGAAAGAATATTCTTTATGACATGGATCAAATACGAATTTAAAAAATATATCTATATTGACTCTTCCATCACCTTATAATTTTGAATTGATGATTTAATCTTTCCGATCATTATTTAGCTTTTGAATTGTTTAATTTTCTCATAACATTAAAGGAAAAAAAACTTAAATTTTTTTTTGAAATGATTTAAATTCATTTAAGAGATTGATATATTTCAACATGTGTTTTTTTTTTTGGACGACCAATTAGAAATGAAACCTTGGATGAAATATAAAGAAACCAAGACATTTACCATTTTTGTCAAACTATGTTGGTAATTAAGATGAAGTATTATTATGTTAGTCAAATAGTAGTAAAATAATTGAAGAATAGTAATAAATTAAACTCAGATATTCTTAATTGGAACATACAATACTTTATCCTGAAAAGTGTCCTTTTCTTCTTTTATAGTAATCACTTGTCCTACAGTTTAGGACCACAAAACAGTAACGGGAACAGGAATAGGTAGAAGGAACCAAAAGTGAACAGTTTGGTTTTTGTTTGTTTACTGTTGTGGTGGAATAGAAGAGAATGGATTAAGTTACTATTATCTATCAACTATCAACACTTTTAGTTTAATGTTTTTTCTATTTTCAATATATCTTAATATAAGTATCGTGTTGAGTATGTCTATTCCATTTCTAATACATGTTAGTGTTAGTATGTATCAGTGTCATGTTATGTGTCTGTATTTTTTTCATGTCTTAATACATACATAAATTGGGCACTTGCTCAGACTCTAGCCTAAAATTTCTTAATACATGTTGTGTTGAGAGTCTGTACGCATCTGTGTCTATTCTATTTTGTGTCTATTTTATTTTAGATATTTGATCAGTATCGTGTTAAATATCTGTGTCAGCATCTGAATCTTTATTTTTTGGTTTTTTATTTATAATTAAAAAGTGGGAAAAAAAAAAAGAGAGAAGTGTAAGGAAGAAGTGTACTAACAAAAGGGCCACACCATTGTTCGAGAAAGCTTTGAAGTGTTGCTATCATTAGTGAAAAAAGACAGTGAAACAGAGGAAACAAAAAGACTACACCCCCCCTTACACCCTTCTCCATAGACACAAACTTCAATTTTCATTCATGTTTATGTAAAAAAATATCTGAATTTTTTTCTCTTCTGACTGATTCTCACTTACTATTATTATTACCACGTATGCATAATGCATGCAAGTGTCATTCAATTTATTTGATTTCTTCCAAAAGTAGGAGAATCTCAATCTCACTGACCTTATCATATAGTACAATATTATTATATATGTGTTCTCAATGTTTATGAGATAAATAGTATATATGAGCAGTGTTATATATGTAGTATATCAAAGGTTATTGTTTCATCTACTCAAAAATAGATATATGGAATCTAAGATGAATAGTTTTGTTGTTGTTGATGATCATGTCAAGTACAAAGAAGATGAAGAACAACAAGAATTGGAATTGGAACAAGAACAACAAAATGGTGTTCATGAACATGGTGTTCATGTAGAGGAGAATAGTGAGATTCTTAAGAGGAGAATCTCTAATCATCCACTTTATGAGTTTCTTGTTGAAGCACACTTGGATTGTTTGAAGGTCTATAATCTCTCTCTTTCTCTCTCTCTCCCATTTCTCTTTCATTCTTCTATATTTCTACTAATTATTCAAAGTCCTGTCAAAAAGAAAAAACTAATTATTCAAAGTGAAATATTAATTTTTTTCTACAATTTTTTGAATTCATACTCAACTTTTTGTTTCTCATAAAATGATATAAAACAATTAAGTATGGTTCAAATTAATTAATATGCTAGATGTTTATGATCATATAGATAATTTAGAATGCATATATTGGCCGCATTTTCTTTACGATGTAAAGAAATGCGGAACACAATTTAAAATCATGATATAAGTAGATAATAAATCTTGGTTTTTCATGATCTTCTTTTTGTTTTGTTTTTCTTATGAAAAAGATAGAATGTATTGTTTAGTTAACTTATTGAATATTAAATAATGATGAAAAAAAGAGATTATCTTTAAGATTGAATTGTGTAAATGTAACAAAAAAAAAATTGTGTTTTAATTAGGGTTTATAAAAGTTATGATGATATGAACTTAAGGGTAGGGTCCAATTTGTTCAAAGAACAATCAAAACTTATAAATGAAGATAAGAGGATTTAGTCCTAAAATTCACTATCTTTAGTTTTATTAATTAACTTATTTAGTTTTTTTAAATGGAAAATTAACTTAAATAGGTAAATAACCAAGAGCATGTTCATCAATTCAAACATGAACAAAATATATATATAAAAACACAAGAGCTAATTTATGGATCATATGTTTCTTTTTTTCTTTTTATAAAATTCTTATTTCTTTCATATGAAACATTGAAGATGTATGGTGAAATTAATTAATCTCTTGCAACTTCTTTTTTTAGGTTGGTGACATTTCTAACTTGGAGATAGAGAAAAAAGACAAGAAGAAAACAATGAAGAAACAAAACTTGGATATGTTAAGCCAATCTGAACTTGATCTCTTCATGGTAATACTTTTCTATTTTCTCTTTTTTTTACACAAACACCAATAAGTGATTTTTTTAAGAGAATATTTATATTTATATAGTAACTTTTTGATGGATTGGATGTATCAATTAACTGAAAAGTCAGTCAAATATAACATGAAAAATGACACAATATGGGAAATTAATCTCTTTGATTGATGGATACTTCATGGTTGCATATATACATTCCTAATATTGAAAGAGACTCAACAATCTCAAACATTAGCATAGTTTTTTGTTCCAATTCTTTGATTGTGACATTTTTTCCCCTACCTGTCTCTGTGTTTGTGCATGATATGGCTTGAGTTATATCTTGTCTTTTCACATTTACCTAAGGAGGGAGTATAAATTTTCACCCCAAAAAGAATTTAGTTAGTAGTTATAAATTTTTCTTCAATATTAAGTGACTTAAAATATTTATAAATATATCTCTTAAACTTTCTATTTACTTAACTAGGATCTTAAATCCAATTATTACTAACATTTATATACCTATTTAAAAATTAAAAAATGATAAGTGTAAGAAAGTTCTATAGTGATTAAAAATGTGAAGACTAGATCATTTATAATGAGAGAATATTTGTTGGAGTTATTCGGAGAGTCAATACGATGGAGTATTTTTCTATATGGAGACTTTTCTTTTGAGCAACACATTTTTGTGAGAGACACCTCACATGTTCACCCAAAATCTAATGGTTGTTGGAGAATATGTAGTATCTCTCATATTCGTTTTGGTGAATCTTTGACCATTAGATGAGTGTTTGACTCAATAAGTATGCTTCTGCGTCATAATGATCCATTAATGGTATCACGAGCCTTTAGTTCGAGTAAAGAGACCGACTTACAAGTGTATGTGGATAAAAGAAGTTTTCACTTAATGAGGAGTGTTGTGGATAGACTCACACTTGAGAGGGAGTGTTGAGAATAACAAATTTAAGTAGTTTGAAGAACTTTTACATTGATTAAAAATATGAAGACTTGATAGAAGAACCAACATTTTAAAATTTTAGGTGAATATATAGTATCTCTCTCACTTATATAAGTGAATCTTTAACCTTTAGATAAATATTTGATCCAATACTTTTTCTAATGACCAGTATTTTTTTCCTAACAATCTAAAAAGGATAAATTTAAAGGCTACTACATAGCAATAGATCATAAAAAGATATATTTAATGTTGGTCTTAATTTATAAGCAATTTTAAGGAGAGTACAACATTTGAATTTCACAAAAGTGTTATTGTTCCCTTAGACATATTGTTTTTCAGAATGTGCACTTTTAAACAAGAAGTACTATCACTAAGTTACTAGTATGTTATAGAACTTTAAATAGACAACTATCACTTTAAATTGTAATGTTTAGCAGACTAATTTGACCACTTTTTTTTTTAAAGAATTGTGTTTCTTAATCTTCTAACACATCAGTCTATAAGGTTCATCATTCTAGGTTTATAACATGAGAGGTTTGTAAGAAAATTTTGTGTGTATTTATGCAAAACAAATAACATTTTATTTGTAATTTATTATCTTTATTTTACCAAACATACTATAGAAAAAAAATTCATAATAAAGTTAAAAATCTATAAAATTTTAAGAGCTCTTCATTTTCATTAGTTTTCTTATTCATCATAATTTAAAAATATTTATAGTAAAAAAATCGTGAAAAATAGATTTAAGTAGTATAGATCTTATTATAAGATGATGATGAGATACGAGATATAGATTCTGTTATAAGAAGAGTAAAGTTATTGTTCTAAAACACATTTATTAGCGCTTAAACTCAAATCATAAAAATTAATTGACCTTGTAAAACACTCTACACTACTAATAATAATGCATAAAAAGTAATGTTGTGATTTATATTTAACAAATTATATATATGCAGGAAGCATATTGTTTGGCACTTAATAAGCTAAAAGAAGCAATGGAAGAACCACAACAGAATTCAATGGCTTTCATAAACAACATGCATTCACAACTTAGGGAGCTAACTCAAGCAACCACACCTGCACCTACTGAATCACCTGGTACTACATCTTCAAGTGAATGCACATTCAGAAGAAACCCAACAATTTAAGTAGAAGTTGAGGACTTGATTTTCAGTAGTGTCTTTGTGCATGTAATATCTCAATTATCTAGGTTTTTATTGTTTTTAATTTGACATGTCTTGTTTGAAATGTTATTCTATGTGAAATTAATTAGTAATGAATGTTATGATTATTAGTTAAATTAATTTATAGTATTTCTCTTTTTCTCATTACTCACATGTTTTGGTTATGTTCCTAGTTTTAAGATTTTTCAACAAATAACATGTTTTTCAATAAAACAATTTTTTTTTCGAGTTCTTACAAAGTTAAAGTAATGATTAGAAGTAAATAATATAAATAATAGTTGGTTTTAGATTGGTAGATAAAAGGTAGCCTGTTATAATATCAACTTGCATGTGCTAGGATGTTGCAGTATGTTATACCATTCTTAAGTCCATTGATGTATCAAACATAAGCAAAATAAATGAAGTTGGTAATTATCTTAAACTTTTATTACTTGTGTTGTTTATACACTTTATTTCAAATCTAACTTTTATTTCTTTCACTTACTTAGCTATAAATCCATATGAAAAAAATTATTGATAAATATGAGATAAACAACATTTAGGCCAATGATTATAGTCGCCATCCATTTTCTTAGCCTCGTCTTGCATTATGCTGTTGAATCCATTATTCAATAATGAAGTTCAATAAGGAGTATAGCTCTCAAAACGGATTAGTCCATATAGGTCGGTCTGTCTGACTTAAAAAATTATATAGTTCAGATCTTTAAACTAAAATCCATATTTTTAAAGTTTTTTTTTAGTCAAAATTTAAAAAATTTGTTATTAGGACTAGTCTATATGGTTCGTGAGTAATTTATTAGACACACATAGTTATAAATTTTAAAAAAATTATATTAATTCTTATATTGTATTACTTTAAAATAGTACATTAATTTTTTTTACTTTAGCAAATTTTGTCTCTATTTTATTCAATTTTTTTCTTTTAAATATTATATATTAATATAATCAATATTTTTCCTCGTATTCTATTGGTTTCTCTTATGTTAAACATTTGAATATTATTTTCTACAATCTAAATATGTATTATATTTAAAAATATGTTATAGTATTTATAAAAGATAATATAAAATTTAAAAATATATAATATTTAAAATAATATAATTTTTTATTTTATTTATAATAAATATTATAGATTGTTTATTTTAACTTTCTTATTTAAAAAAGTCTGTTTATGGCCGCATAGTCCGAAATCTATCTAAGATCGGATTTAAATAATAATTTTTAGATTTATATTACAATAGGGTTTTTTTGGTCCAACTCTAAAAAGTCTTGATGGGTGAAGAGGTACCTACCTACTATCCAATTCAACAAAACAATTTCTCTCATTTTCTTGTGTTTTTCATGTATTTGATTATAGGTTGGAGAATATGAAGGTGCTTATAAGGTTAGTTCCGTGTTTTGCTCAAATTTTGTTTTGGTTGGATGTGGGTTTATTTTGTTTTAAATCGTTGATTTTGTTTGTTCTTTTGTTTTATATTTTCTCATTCAGAATTTTTTATACACTTCAAAAGAAGAAAGTTTCGAGTTAAAAGCTATAGACTTTGGATTATCAGATTTTTTTAGACCAGATTTTTCCTCACTAATCCTTACTTGATTTTGGTTTTAGTATATTTTTCCTCGCGGAAATTGAGCAATTTTCTTAACTTTTTATATCACATCCTTCATATGAGAGGCTTAATGACATTGTTGGAAGTGCTTATTATGTGGATCTTGAAGTTCTTCATAGATCTTACAGCACAGAAGATGACGTGTGGAGTATAGGTGTGATATCATATATTCTATTATGTGGTAGTCGTCCATTTTGGGCTAGAATAGAGTCAGGTATTTTTAGGGCAATTTTGAAAGTTGATTCAGGCTTTGAAGAAGTTCCTTGGTCAGCCTTATCTTCATAAGCAAAAGATTTTTTCAAACGCCTACTGAATAAGGACCCACGAAACTGAATATCTGCCGCTCAAGCATTGAGTGAGTTTTCTTGTGACCTCTAATATACATAAGGTTCTAATAGGGCATTTATTGAGATTTGAGCAAATAATCTTGTGGTTTGCAGGTCATCCTTGGATACGTAATTACAATGATGTAAAAGTTACGCTTGATATTTTAATATTCAAGCTCATGAAGGCTTATATGAGATCATCATCTTTGCGTAAAGCTGCCTTAAGGGTGTGTATTTTGGTTTCTTAATACCTTCTAAATAATGCAATGTGAATTTGCGATTAAAATTATGTTATTTTGTTTTTAATTATATTAGTTAATTTATTTATGTTCGACTCTGTTTGACATGCCTTGTTAAAGATATTAACTGTTGATGAACTTTATTATCCGAGGGAACAATGTGCACTCTTGGAACCAAGCAAAAAACGGTAGTATATCCTTGGAGAATATTAACAAGGTTTATTGTTATGTCATATCATATCAACTTTTAAGAAGTTTATTGTTTTGTAAGATGAAATAAGTTTTTCTCATTCGTGTTTTCTGTGCAGGCCTTGAAGAAATATGCAACTGATGCCATGAAAGAATCTTGTATCACTGATTTTCTTTCCTCGATAATAACACCTTGTTTTGTTATCGTCAATTCTGTTAGTTTGACTGTTTCCCATCTTACATGTTCCTAATATTTCTGGTTTATTACAATTGACCTCATTACAATATAGAAGGATGGATTTTGAAGAATTCAGTGCTGCTGCATTAAGTGTGTATCAACTCGAAGCTCTTGATCATTGGGAACAACATGCTCGTTGTGCATATGAACTTTTTGATAAAAATGGAAACAAGGCTATTGTTATTGAATAACTTGCCACAATAAGTTAATTTCACTTTGTTGTACCCAAAAAATTTCCCTCCCATTTTCTTCAAGACATTCTTCTAAGATTCTCAAATACTCAAGGATTCTCCAGAGTTGACTGGTCAAACCTCCTCCTAAGCAAGTGTCTTCAACTTGGGTTTGGTGCTTTACAAGGAAGATTAGTCTGCAAAGGTCTCAAATGACTTTCATGGTTCATCATAGGTCCTCAATAATTCTTATGTCAGGTTTCAAGTCTTGCCTCACATGTTTTCTCAATCAATGGCTCAGATGATTGAAAATCAAATGTATTGGGTAAAAAGTCGACTATGGTCAAAATACAGTCAAACTTCAAGATTTTTTGTCAACATCAATATTTTGAGGTGATATTCATCATTTTATCAAGTATTGAGCTTGATTCCTCAAGGAAAGCCCTCAAATCATCAAAGGTCAAAATTGCAAAACTAGGGTTTTGATTGAGGATGATTGATCTTTGACTTTTGGTCTAGTGCATGACCTAATGGCTTGAAGTATAATCTCAAGAGCTCAAATACAACATCTTGACCTAATTACATGGCTCAATACATTTCCAAAGATGCAAGTGATTGATAGTTGAGGAATTGAATCAACTGATAAAAAGTCATCAGTCACACAAAAGTCAAACTTTGACTTTTTGGTCAACATTGGAATTCAAAAATCAAGAATCATCAAGATATTCAAAACTATCAAACTTGATCATCAAGAATCAATAAATTCAACAAAAGTCAAAAGTCAATATTTTCAAATACTTAGAAAAAAATCAAGTGTTTTGTACCTAAAAAACCCTAACTTCACAAGCAAGTTTCCTCAAGATACAAGTTGATTCAAGGAAAACTTTCAACATGAAAGTTGTAGGGATTGATGAATTCTACAAATTTTTCAATGTGAGATGATCCTCAAAAAGTGCTTGGATTAAGAGATATGAGCCCATAAAGTTATGACATTTTTATCTAACACTTAGAAAAAATTTCAACAAGTTTTGGTCAGTTTTTTGTCTCAACTTCTTGGCAAATTTTCACCAAGTTCCCAATTGATTCAACAAAAATTGTCAACATGAAAGTTGGATATCTTGATTCAAGCTTTCCAAAATGTCCAAGATCATAAAAAGATCATGCTTGAGCTAGAAGTTTCGAAGAGATGAATTTGGGTATCTAAGGTTGCATTATAAGTCATTTTTGTGACAAGTTCATAACCAAACCTTCATGTCATGCTGCATAATCTTACTTTACAGGCCTATAAACCTCCAAATATATCCATAATAATAAGTTTGTACCCACTTTTGAGCCATTATCCAAGTGATTCAAGCTTTGTCCAAGCTTACATTGCCATTTAAGAGAGAAAGGTCACACTTCCATTCTTGTAAAGTGACTTTAATCATAAAGTCCACTCTCCTTAAGACTTTCAATTTTTTCTTATGCATACACACAATGTCAAAACCAGAAGCAAAATCTTTAAGCCTGTCAACCACCCTACATTGCATTGGAACCATGTTCTTCAAACATACTTCAAAGCTAAGCAACCAAACCATAACATGCTATCATTCAAACCTGATCAACCCTTGCCCTCAAACCTTTTCTCTATAAATAGATAGGCCATTTACAAGCCAAAGCACAAATGGGCAAGCCCTCAAACACTCTCAAACTCAGAATCACCAAGAAAACTCCAATGTTGCACATTTGAAGCTTCCAACACCCAACTTCAAATCCACTCGTGCGTTTTCCTTTTTTATCATTCAAACATCATCTATACATTATATATAAGCCATCCATACCCATGTTTCATCACTGTAACATCATCTTCATCATACATAATTTTCACTTTTCACACTTGCAAGTTGACTTGGTCAGAGATTTTAGAAGTTCTCAAAACTAAGTGTGCATCCAAACAGCTTCCTCAGGGTCCAAGCAAGCTCACGAAATCATCATTTCACCTCTGGAGGTCGTGTAGAGGGCATTGAGATTTTGCATCAAGAGATAAGTTTTCCAAACTTTGAAATATTTGTACAAGCATCATTTGTATTTACTTTCTAAAGAAAAAATGTAGATATCATGCCTTTGAAGCTAACCATGTCCTTACTCTTCATTAATTTTTCTTATGGAGTGAGAATCGAAGCTCTGACCAGTTAGGGTTCATTTTTGGTACTAAGTAAAATTCTTTTTATTCTTTGAGTTTTAGTTAAAATAAGTGGCATGGTTGAATTCGTGTTCAAATTTCAAGCAAGTTTGGTGTTCACATTTTTTAAAATGGTTGAGAAATGAGAGTTTTACAAAGTCAACAATGGTGAAGTCATGTTGTTATACAGCCCGAGGAAGAAGAAGGCCATGGAGCCAGTTTTCAAATTTCAAAAATGAGTTTACTTTATATTTGTTGCAACATATTTTATCACCGGATAAAACAACCACCCCAGTGGCAAGCGTGTTTGTGTGTAAGGCGTTAGTATGCCAAGGCAGGGGTTCGATCCCTGCCTCTGGCATTTTATTTTTCAACATTTTCTTTGTTGATCGGGTGCAAGGAACTCCAACGCGCAATGATGCACTCCCTCATCAACACCATTAGATCTCATCAAACCAGATCTGGATGCCTCAAACACGCGTTTCCACCATGAACCATCAAAAACTGGCCACACTAAATCACACAGGCGCCTGGGCTTAAGGTGTTTGGGCCTAGTGAATTTCTGATTTCATACCCCCTTTTTTTACAACACATGCCCATTTGTTTTTATTTTATTTTATCTATTTAATTCTTTTATTTTTAATTTAATATTTTATTTAATCAACAAAAATCATAAAGTCATGAAAATTTTAGATTTAGGTCTTTATTTAATTAATTTAATTTTTGATGAATAAAAATTAAATTAATTAATCACTTTGAGTTTATTTTATTAATTAATTAGAATTAAGTTTTACACTTCATATATTTTTCTAAATAAAACATCAAAATTATTTTCTAACAATTATTTTCTTTTTAAAATTAAAATTAATTTGGACTTCTTTTTTTATTAAGTTAACTAAATTAGATTTCTTTTTAATTAATTAAATTTTATTTTAATTTATGTTTCTTTAGTTTTTACTAAACTTTTGTTAATAAATTAATGATTAGGTTAATCATCAAACATTTTTCTATAAAAAAATCACAATTTCCTTTCTCTTTTCTTTATTTTACAAATCTTCGCATACTGTATTACCCAATTATGTAATTGCTCAAAACTTGTAATAGATAAATTAGGGTTTACTGCTTTTTCATCCCCATTCACAAATTTGTACCCCCGTTCCCGAAGCCTTGTAATAGTGTAGGACATTTAAATTCTGCCATTTACTGCTTTCCTTATTACTGTTAGTAATTAGGGTTTGTATGGCAAGATTAAAATCAACATTAGAAAACTTAATTTCAAGACAAAAAAATAACTAAAACCAATCACTATGCACACATGCACCTTTAGGATAATCTCATTTTTTGCCTCAGATAAAATACAGTCATATCCCTCGAATGTGGGATACTTTAGCAAATACTCTCAATTAAAAGATCATAGTCCCTCGATGACCCTTCGATGCTGCCTTCGGTAAACGATCTTAGTCCCTTATGAAAATTGCTAAAGTGTCCTACAAGTTACCTTCTATGATTGTACGATTACCCACATTTGTCCATCATATCCAATGATGGGGCTCCCTACTAACTAATGGTAGAGTAGCACTATCTAAAGGAAGAGGAAAAGAATAAAGACTTTTTGAGTAGGTAGATCGCTCGTAATCGCTTGCTCACAAACTAAAACAATTTCCACACTTCACACTTTCAAAAACAACTACTTTTAAAATGCTTTATAAACACTCTTGAGGACTGATACAAGGGTTATTATAAAGAAAAATGCCTTACATTGGCATTTTCAAAACATCTTTTCACAAAACAAACACTTTCTCCCAATAAGTATTTTCAAAACAAGCATTTTGTATACATTCTCAACGATACGAGAATCATTACAATATTGTTGTACTTAGGCATTTTCAAAATATTTGCAAACATACACAAACACAAAGCATTTCAAAAGTGAGCTATCAATTAAGAGCCTGTAGATAACTATGGATGAAAAGGGTGCTAACACCTTCCCTTTTCATGACCTACCCCCCAAACTCAGAAAATTCTTAAAAGGGCTTTCCTGTTCTTTTCACCCTTTCCTTTATTGGATAAAAGGAAAGTCGGTGGCGACTCTTGCTATCTGCAACATTTGCGATAAAACACACAACCCAAAAGTCAGCTCTCTCACCGTATTATATAATTGGCGACTCTGCTGGGGAAATCACTTAAAATTTGGGTTACCTTAAGAGCTAGATCACCTTTATTGCTTTACTTGTTGCCTTGTATGCTTTAT